TTTTTGGAACCATTTGATTTGATGATTATTGTGTGGGCCGAGTGCCATGTTTGAGACCTTCCACAAAATCTATGTACCCTTTTTTATTTAATATATTAGCCATTGGGCTTTCAATATATATATATATATATATATATATCTGTGTGTGCGTGCGTGTGTGTGTGTGTGTGCGTGTGTGTGTGCACGCGCGTGTGTGTTTGTAGATAGATGAATAGATAGATAAAGGCTGTCTTTAAGGCAACAAATTTAAAAATACCTTAAATCAGGTTCAACGCACTAGCTGTTGTTTAACCTTTTATTTTTTTAATATTTTTATGATTATCTTTTTTTTGATAATTAAAGTATTTGAAAACTAAATGCACAAGCAAAAACTGTCCTTTAGCATTTGCCTAAGTATATTTCTTACACTTGTGGAGTTTAGTGGCATCCCATTTTAGGTACTATAAATCTGATTGATTAAAATTTTGATTTAGCTCGACTTTGATTTTATATTTTTTTACTCACTATAAACCTATTGTACATATTGTATATGAAATATTGTCATTCTGAACCTTCTACATTTTTGCATGGATCCTCATGAATAAAAAATGCTAAAATTTCTAGATCATGTTCTTTTTGGTTATGATTGAATTCTAACTACTTTATAAGTTTTGTAGTCTTTAATGCCTTTGAAATACCGTTTTTTGATACCCATAAAGGTCATGGATAGTAATTATCAAATATTTTTTTGTTTGGGAGTTTTTTTCACGCAGAGCCAATCACTACTAATCTCGTGCTCTAAGCCTTTGTTATTGTTGGATAAAAATTTTTAGATGGTGAATACCATAACCTTATTAACAAGTATCACCAGCAAAAGTATAATAATTAGGGGGAGAGATAATTCATTGTTAGATTTTTGAGATTTAGTTAGATTGAAGAAAGTATAAGTGATTTGATGTTATCACGACTTGACCTATGAGTTTGGAATACTATGGTAGGAACGGATGCTTAGACGGAAGAACTATTTAAACATTTTCATTTGTTGAACAAAGGTCATCCAAAACATAAAGCATATTCTGTTTTACTAAATTTTAATTTACAATAGTTCGTTCAAATTTAAACTTTTTACAACTAAAAGAAAAGTAAAAATTAAATGTTGTTCTTATCTCTTCGAGCGCATCAACATATCTACACATATTCCTTATGATCTATTTATTCTATAACAGGTTATCTTGAAAAATGTTAACTACTAAAGGTATAAGTTAAACTACTAAGGTAAATTATCTCTAAATTATAATAAATTTTCATTTTAATAACACTTTTTTAGGTTTTGAGAATTTAGCTGGATAATTTTATTTATATGAAAGGGGGTATAAATACATGTTACATGAATTCTAAAATAGTAAAAACATAACACTCATATCTTCAAATTTACAACTAATCAATTCCTAATAACTACTTGGAGATAAAAGGAAAAACATAAAATAGAAATAGTCGGAAATGAAATAAATCAATGTTAATAACTTCTAATATAAAATAATATATAATCCGAATGGAAATAAACCAATACTAATAACTTCTAAGACTCCCCCTCAAGTTGAATAGATGTCAATTATGTTCAACTTGGATTTGAAATCATCACATAATAGGCGAGTAAGATACTTCTCTTCTTTTGTCAATCCTTTTGTTTATTATGTTTCTTCATCCCCAACAACATTTAAGGATATACTTCTAGTTGATTGCAGTTGATTTTGACTGCAGTTTTTATAAGTAGACGGAAGGTCGATGTGGGAAGTTTGTAGGGAAGTAGACAACCTACAGGGAAAGCTGGTAGGGAATGATCCGCAAAAAAAAAGGAAAAACTTCGAAGGTAGCTCTATTGCAGGAAAACACTCTTGAGGAGAGCCAGTTGCAGAAATAGGTCTAGAGGAGAGTCTACAACAAGAAAGAAGCCCCGAAGGAGGGTTTGCTGCAGGAAAAAGATCCAGAAGAGTGCCTGCTGTAAGAGAACCCTATCGTCGGATCGGATCTTTCCTTTGCAAGATGGCTTTATGGGGAAGTTTAGTCAAACCTTCTAAACCATATAACCATGATTTTGACCATTCCCGTGGCAGGCTTCACATCTCACAGACAACACTGTGTGATGGAAAATCTGCATCTGAGAGCACTGTGCAGCGCAATGTCGACAACAAAAGCTTTATTTTACTGAGCTATTTGATTCCCAATGTATCTGAAAATTGCCATTTGGAATTGGAGTTTGAAGAGGATGAAGAAGTCATCTTCTTTATCCTAGCTTGGATGGAGATGATACTGAATCTTATGGGGAGGATATTACTGATGTTGCAATTTATATTGATTATGAAAGACCCAAAAGCAGCGTTGTGATTAACGAGATTGAAGATGATGACAAACAAAATTTGTATCTTTAGTCATCTAAAAAGGACACTGGAGATTAGTGATTCCGAGGAAGCTCAAATCGAATCCAAACAAATAGTGGTGAGGAACGAAGAATGTACAAAAGAAGAAAGTGAAGATGAAGATGATTTTCCCTTTTGTTTCCCCGTTGAGAGTAGAAGTTCCAAAAAGAAGATAAATCATGATAAGAAACTAACGTTGATGCTGTTGGTCAAGATAATGTTTCTATTAGTGATACGGCTTGTGATTTCGCAATCCCCATTGAAACTGATTCTAAAAGTAATGGGGAATCAAAGAAAAAAAGGGGAAAGAGGAAAAGTGCTCTGTAGGATCTGAGAACGATGAGAAGCATAATAAACAAAAGGAGAATCACCAACATGGAGAACATATTTGAAACTGATTCTAATTTTCCAATTAATGAAATTGAAGAACATGCTCATGAAAATGGAGTTAAAGATACTGAGAATGATTGCGAATCTGCTCCTGTTTTGTTTACTGATCCTGATACCACGAAGCGTAGAGAGAAAAAAATTTTATAAAGAGAAGAGTCAGGGAAGAAGGCGTGTCTCATGCGAAAGAGTATAGAAAGGAAATACATCATTACGGGCCTGCAACTATAGTCCTGTAGATAAAAAGTTTTTTGAAGGAAGACTGCAGGAAAATGCATCTCCACTAAGGAAGACCGTAGGAAGGGTTCACGTTACACTCCAGCAGGGAATTTGGGGCATGTAGGAAGGGTATGGGAAGAGCTTCGATGTTGATGGCTACAGAGAGAGGAGTTCTGATAGTTAGGGATCTGCAAGGAGAGTGTTCCGGTGGCTCGTTACTGTAGGAAGTAGTTCTGGCGGGCTAGGGCTTGTAAGGAGAGGAGTTTTGGTGGCTAGCAAGGGAAGGAATTCCATCGATTAGGGCACCGCAGGGAGAGAGTTTTGGTTGCTAGTCTTGCATGAAGGAGTTTTAGTGGCTAGGGCTTGCAGGAAGAGGAGTTTCAACAACTATTTCTTGCAGGAAGGAGTTCTGGCAGCTAGGGCTAGCACGGAAAAATTGTCAGTTGTAGGGAATAGAAAGTTTCCAACTGCAGGAGATCTTCGTTGGAGGCTAAACTTTTTTTTTTTTAGGCTCTGATACCATGTAAATTTTGAAATATCAACGGAATGATTTTATTGATATGAAAGATGGTATAAGTACATATTATATGACTCCTAAAAATAGGAAGTATATAACACCCATATCTCCAAGATTATAGTTAATGAATTCATAATAATTACTCAGAGATAAAATGAAAGACAAAATAAGAAGTACATAAAATAGGAAATAGCTGGAAAGAAAATAAATCAATACTAATAACTTCTAACAATTTTTATATAAAACCTATAATCAATAAAAATGAGACAATTTAAAAAATAATTTTCTTGTCACTATTATATATTCCAATTATAATATTAGTCAATGAGAGCACTGTCTAATTCTAAACCAAAATTATATATTGAACATTTTTCAAAACCCTCTAAAAAGGTAGATATCCATTTCTATTTCTATTTTGCATTTATGAGTAAATTGCATCCCAAATCAATATCATCTGGAGGTGACTCCACAGATGGATATCTATACATCATATATTTTTTTCCTTTTTTATTTAGAATTTGATAAATATGAAACTTGCATTTCTAAAAGAAAGTGCTAAAATTATACAATTAACTTTTTATAAAATTAACATCCATTCCTATTTTCATGTTACATGCATGACTAAATTCCATCCCCAAACAAAAAGGTAGGCACGCATTTCAAATCTCATTTTTAAAAGAAAATGCTAAAATGATGCATTTAAATTTTTCAAAAACCCACCAAAAAGGTAGGTATCTATTTCTATTTTCATTTTACGTGCATGAGTACATTCCATCATCAACTAGTGTCATCCGTGAGTGACTCCACATGTGCAGATGTATACATTATATTTTCTTTATTTCTTTTATTTAACATTTGAAAAATATGAATGATATCGAAAGAAAAAAAGACCCAAACCACAAAAATAACTTTTATTAATGGGGAAATAAGGTTACAACACTCACAAACTGAAAATAACATCACCATCACATAAAACGACACAACAAATACTTCGGGAATGCATCCCACGGGTGGTGGAGATTTTACTATTTTCTCAGGTTCTTTTTAACTACTTTATCTTTTAAAAGCCTAAGGTATCGTAATTTGAATATTTATGTGATGTCCTTGCATGGGTAACTCCTCCGTGGCTTCATGGTTAGTATCTACATATTTACAGTGCAATGTCCATCCCTATGAGAGTAGCCATGAATTTTATTTTATATCAACATCAAAGATTGCATCCCAACCTTTCTGTGCATAACCTCACACTTTGCTTTAAGCAGGAGGCATTTAATGATGGTATATAGTATTTTATTCACATATGGTTTTGTTTATATTCTAATTACTGCAGAATGCGTGAGAATTTTTTGTATTTGAAAGGGGGAAATTGGAACTAATAGCTTATTTCTGTCATTCTTATTCAGAAGTCTACAACATCCCTTTGATTCCAAGAAATTCCTTATTTTTCTTAGTTGACAAAAGCTGTGATACTCTTGGATCAGGAAATTGGTGAAAAGCTTTCTGAAATTGGGAGCAAGTTGGACTATCCTGATTTGACCAAGGAGACTGCAAAGGAGATAGAAGCTCTATGGAATGATGCTGCCATTCAGGTAGAGTCTTTTAGATAGTATGGGGTCTTTCTTAATTCGATGTTTAACTTTATTTCTGGTTATCTTATAGATTCATTTTTGCTACAGCGCCTATTTCAGCGATGTAGCAATGTGCAGAAATTGTTTTATTCTATACAATGTTTGGAAGTTGTATGGTTGATTACACATTCATTTTCAGGAAACTTATTCTCGTGGAAATATTCTACAAATACCGGACTGTACTCTTTATTTCATGGACAATTTGGGAAGATTGTCTGAAATGGATTATGTTCCAACTAAGGTCCTTAAACTTCCATTCTTCCATCACCATTCTGCAGTGTAGCCATTCTTTTGTCTATTAGCTATTTTGGTTTTATAATTTTTCTTCAAATTTGACTTTTCATTTAATATCGAGTGTGACATGTGTTCTTCAATGATGGTTATTTTTCGATACCCAATTGAATCCTTTTTCTTGGTTCATTCTAAAATGTACAATTACTAGAAGTTCCCTGTGGGCCAGAAAAAAAAAATATTTCTGAGTTTTTTTTTTGCTGTTTATCTATTGGATTAACAGGAGGATGTTCTTTATGCCAGAGTGCGGACAACTGGTATTGCTGACATCCAGTTCAGGTAGAAGTAGACTTACTGATGTATTTGCTTTGCAGCACATTATTATATGCCTTTCTCAGTTACTCTTGGTTGGCTCGGTTGTTTCTTGTTTGCGATATATTCCTAATAATTGAGTATTGTTTTAACGCCTTTTTAGCTAAAACATTTTATAAAGAGAAAGACAATTGTGATTGTGTAACATCAACCGTTTTGCTATTTACAAAATTACCATCTATGTCTAAAAATTCACAACATTACCATCAAATTTTAATCAATATTTTTTTTTCAAGTTCATAATGGTTTGGTGGTAGCACACACAAATGCCTGAGTTCGTTAGTTTTTTTTTTTTAATTTCTTTATTTTCTTAAGTTTTGAGTGGTTATTCTGTAAGCTTGATTTCGGTGGCAAGCAGGCAATTTTTTCAAAATAAAAATATGTTATTTTTTGTTCGTAGCCTCTTTCTGTAATCCTAGTTCTATAAGCAGAATTGATTCTTCATCTCTCCATTGTTCATGCATATTTTATGTTTTTGTTCTTTGTGATAGATCATTCTTTATAAGTTTAATATTCTTAGTTTTGCCATCGTATTCATTAATCCATGTCAAATTTTCAAGTATACTCTAGCTTGGAATTTGAGCATATTATGTTATCCAATTCATATATTCATGTAAGATAGCTATACCGCAATTACTGCTATTTCATTTAGTGTCTCTTCGGAAATGATGTTTTGTTTTTTAAAACATTTTATTGGTTGCTCTCTTCATGGTGCCAGCTTATACTAATTGGACAGGTTTCTATTTGTGCATTGTTTTCTTAGAAATGAATTGTGATAGTCTGAGCAGAGCTGTTTATTTAGACATATGATTTATTGTGATATAACACATGCATCAATTATCATGCCTCTGGAGACTCGAACCAATATTTCATGCTTAGAATGCAAATGACTCTTTTTTCTATTCATGCAGTTGAACCATAGATCCAATGGCTTGTTTATTTGTAAAAACTATCTCATAGGACTGCAAGAATTGGCTGAGCTGTCTAACCAGCTGGCTGGCTTTTGTACCTATTGGCAACTTCATCCCCATTCTCTTTGCTGAATTTGAACTCATTCCCATTAAAAATCTGATTTCTTCACAACATTAACATATTGTTAGACTGGCACCTAAGAATAATTTTTTCCTTTTATTTGTTATTCTTTGTGGGGTATAAATAATTATGATTAGGATTATGTATGCTATAGGGTTGTTGTCTTGAGTCTTCGTCTATATTGATTTCACGATCTAACATCGCTTTCCAGAATCTGTAATCCGATCTGTGATGAAAGGACGTAGACGAAGACTCTGCAAGTCACGATTCCGTAGGGCTTCCCAACATCTATTTGTTAGTAATCTCACGGGATCACGATTGATTACTAGAAGATTGCAATTTCATCGCTCCTTTGCCAACTATGTCACAAATCCTTGATTATGGGAAGTTGATGGGATTTGATTTCATCACAGATTGGATAGCGGCGTAGAGAGAGTTGTGGTTTGACCTAGTGAAAGTTAAGAAGGATCATAGTCCATAGGGAGGACGAAAGAATCACTGTTTGCAATAAAATCATGGTTTTTACGGGATCGTGGGTACATACACAAGCATTCTCGACCTAATAGCACGATTCCCGCTAGCTGAGAAGCCAACCACCGAATCATGACGTACAAGAGTTTTACCTTCGTGATTTAAAACCTTTATGGGAGTAACAAGCAAGAAAGTAGACTCTCTGGCGATGAAATTAGAGAAAGTGGTGACTCAAATTAGATTTGAAATGGAGGAGCATTTCTTGTACATAGGGGACATTCACGACCCTTGGAAGAAATGATAGAAAAAGATAGTAGAGTCTCACACAAATTTGTTGCTGGCCATCGCGGAATTGATCGACGACGTATCGAGCAGATGCGAGCGGTAGCAATATGAAGGATTTGTGTGGCATCATGACAATGTCGTCGCCTTAGGCAGATCTTGAAGCGCGAAAGGAGTCGGGAGCGAATTCAGGCAACAACACTTGGAAGGGATAACATGAAATATGAATGGCTGGACTGAACATAATCAAGCTGGATTGCGTAAATGAGTTGGTAGGGGAATGACACGACATATGGAGGGTTGGAAACAGTGGTGGCAGGAAGAAAGGAATGGCATGCAATTCAAGGCCGGAGAAGATCACTTCGAAGAATTTGACCTTGAATAGGGAACCATAGTGGTGGGACCCCGACATAGGGCTGCATCCAATTGCGCCAGTATCTTTTGCTGTGACAGCTTTCCAGACAGAATGCGATTCAAGAGTAATGATAGGGACCAGATAGGTGGTAAAGAGCATAAGTGTGGAAGGAATTGATTTTGATACTGCAGAGCATTCGGAGGGAGACAAAATGGTGGTGCTTTGCGGCGACCCTCATTTGTGCAAGATTTTGGTGTCAGGAGATCCATCGAAGGTGCCAACTATATTAGAGTGGCCACTACTTAAGATTGTGAAGGGCTTGAGAGGATTCCTGGGACTTACATGATACTATCGAAAGTTAGTGGAGTGTTGCAATTCAATAATGTGGCCGTTGATGGGGATCCCATACTTTTTAGAAGTTGAAGATGACCATGACGAGTGTACTAGTGCTTGTGTTACTTAATTTTAACCAAACTTTTATTGTAGAGACGGATCTTTTAGGGTATGGATCAGACACAATTCTTATGCAATGTAAAAAACACGTCACTTATTTCACTAAGTGTTGACTGCGAGAGTTAGGCTCAAATTAGTTTACGAGTGAGACACATTCGACGTGATCTGACTACAATTTTCTTTTTTCCAACTTGTGGACATGTCTTTCTGAGAGGGGAGTAATGGTAAAATGACGCTTAAGCGTAATTTAGTTCTTTTATAAGCTATTATCGTGTGATATAAATAGGGTTTTTATACTTAGGTTAGGTATTTTATGAGATTTTTGTTTTGATTCTTAGGGTTAGGGTTTGGGAAAGGTCGCTTACCTTTCTAATGTTAGAGTTAGGGTTTGGGAGAGATCACTACCTTGATGAATTATAGGCTCTTTTTTGAGTTTTGTTGCTTGATGATATTGAAATAAAATATTTGGTAGCCTCTGATCTCTCTGAAAACTCCTTTGGTTCCTATCACATACCTTTGTTGGTAAGGATTTCAAATCATTTCTTATGTATTTATTATCGATATTATTCTAAGATAGGTGAAGTGGATCTGGGTATAGAAAGTGCAAGGGACAGGGAATGAATCCTCTCAAATCTCTATGCCTCCACATATACATTCATAACCATACCATCTCTTATGTGTCTGAAGGGGAACTGTCAAGTCTGGAAGACAGACGGTGATGCGAGAGCTAGTGACAGAGTAGCAGGAGTGGAATACACATAATTGAGATACTGCATTTGTGGGACTAGTTGGTCGACCAAGTTTCGATTTCGAAATAACAGGATTTTGCAATTTCGTGAAATCGGACACACCAACGATCACAAAATTGAATACATGAGTCCTGACTTCGAATGTTTAGTATATATTTTGTTTTTTTATTTCTTTCCTATTTTTCTAATTTCTGGTTAGCTTACTTGTTATTAGTGCACTTTTTATATGTTGTTATTTTGCTTGTTTAGGGAGACTTGCTTGATTTGGTGTTTTTTGGAGATTGTAATATCTGTTTTCTAACTTAAGGGTACTGTAGCATCGTCATTTTTCAAGGGGTGTGTTTGTAGCTTGTATAGGAATAGGTGGTGAGCCTCCTCGCCATACGTACATCGTCGTTTTAGAGTTCTCTTTAATACTTTCAGTCGGGACAACCTCCGAAGAACGCTTATTCCCTTCCAAATGTTGTCGACCTCCAATATTCTTATTCCCTTGCTATTCCACAACCACCTCCTTACTAATTCTGCTTCCTTAATTATCTTCTAGGAGCTCTCGAATGATATGATCTGATATCCGAGCTGACAAACCCTAAAATTTTAGGGATTGCCTTCCTTGCTCCCAATAAAAAAATTCCATACAACCTTTGACCCATAAAAAAAAAAGAAAAAGAAAAGCTGCACCATGCCCAAACCATTATTATTGCAATTCCTAGCCCAAAATCTAAACTAACCATAAACCATAATTTAATTTTTAGCCAAAATTGGATAAAGAGATACCATGCCACTAAAGAGAAATTCTTAAAGAGGTGTCAACAAATTTACGATGGAGAATATGCACCATGAAATTCTCTAATTGTGACAAAGGCTTACCTCCTTTGAGAGGAGACAACCTGGAGATGCCACTGATAGCCATAAAGGTGACTAGTTACATCGAGAGGAAGTGAATTCTTTCCACCAACTAGTTTCTTGCGACAAAGAACCAATTTCCTGATGTTTTGGCATGAAATATCAGAGAAGAAACTAAGATGTTAGAGTGAAGATAGATTTGCTGATTTTTGACGGTCTTATGTATTCAGACAAGTTCATCGAGTGGCTTCAGAAAGTTGAACTGGCCTTTGAGTACAAGAATATTTCACCTGACAGAAGGGTCATGCTAGCTACTATTAAGTTATGAAATAATGCTTGGTTGTGGTGGGGGAATTTGAAGTGCCTAGGACAATATGCGAGAAAAGACAACCACTATTTGGTCTCAGATGAAAAAGTGACGTAGTGCAACCACTACAAACACATTACAGACAAGACATGTTTTTTAGACTTAACCTTTTGCAACAAGTTGTCTCAGTAGAGGAGTACGAGTTCAAGCAGCTTATGTTGAAGTGTGAGCAAATGGAGCTTGAGAATAATGACATAGTTCGATATCTTGGGAGATGGAGACCGTTCATTATCAATTTGGCACAATTATAGTCTTATGGGAAATTACAGGATGTCCAGATCTTTGACTTGAAGGTGGAAAATAACACAACAATATCAAGTCCACACCACTCTTCAAGCAGGGTTCAACTGTTGAATAAGATTGTAAGAGTATACCTAGTGGATCACCCAAGCCGACCCCGCTTGAAGAGAAACCAATTTAGAGTGAAGAAAAAGTGGAGACCGCTAACACTCCCAAATCTGTCTCAGTTAAGAAGAGCTTGAAGTGCCATGATTTGTGGCACATTGCATCATATTAACCAAATAGGGGAATGATATATTTTATTGAACAAAAAACATTTGAAATGAGCAAGTGAAATAAGAGAAAATGAAGATGTCAAAGAAGAATATAAGCTTGCAAATGATGATCTGAGCCCATGAGAGAGATTTTAGCAGAGCTAATATTAGTTGTCTTAGAAGGTAGTGAGTCCGAGGAACCAAGACCAAAAAGGGGTCAGCCCTCATTGAAGGAGTCGCCATATGTTTTGATTGATAGTTTTCCATCTAAGTGGCTACCATTGATGGTGGTTTAGTATGTCATGGAATTATTTTAGGGTTGATTTCTCTAGATAGACTTGTTTATCAGATGAGCCCAACCGAGTTCGAAGAGTGGAAGAGGCCAATTACATATTTAATGATTCGAGACTTAATTTCTATGAATTTCGTCTATTTGTCATTTTAGCTTTGGTTATATAAAAAATGAACGACTTTATTCTAGCAGAAAGACTTTGGAAGGACACATGTTTTAGAGTTGTCTTAGATGAATGTGAGCATATCACAATTGTGACCGATTTTTTCAGTGGCTGATGCCAACCACACTACGTCTTTTGTTTAGCTTTTATAGCTCTTTTTGTAACTTTTTGACTTTTTTATTAATGCAAAATGCATACCATTCATAGATGGATGTGAGCATTATATTTTGCAGTGGAGTTGCGTCAGACATAGCAAAACAATGAATATGTTATGATGATGGTGGATCGATTCTTGAGTTTCTTAGGAAGAAGGCAAAGCTCCTATTATCAGGGGAGAATGATGCGGGAGCTAACGATTGAATAGTGCGAGCGAAACTCCCACGGTGTAGGATTTTGCAATACGCGCAATTGAGATCTTGTGCCGTGGGATTAGCATACCGACCAAGTTTCGATTTTGAAATAATGGGATTTCGCAATTCCGTGAAACCTTACATGCCAACGATCTTAGGATTGAGTACATGAGTGTCGACTTCTAATTTTTAGAATATTTTTTCACATTGATTTATTTTTTGTTTCTCTATTTTTTAATTAGGTTATCTCCTATTAAGGAGCTATTTATATGCTCTTATTTTTTTGGTTTAGGGAGAATTTTACTTGATTTTGTGTTTGTTGGAGATTGTAATATCTATTTTCTACCTTAAGAAGTATTGTATTATCTTTCTGTTGCAAGTGGTGTGTCTATAGCTTGTGTAAATAGGTGGTGAACCTCCTCGCCATCTATATTCATCGTTTTGGAGTTCTCTTTGTTGTTTTTCAGCCTGGACAGCTGTCGACCACCCATATTCTCTTGCCCTTGCCAGTCCACAACCATTTCCCTATTAAATCTGCTTCTCAAACACCTCTATTAGCCCTAGAACGTTATCATATGGAGATCAAAGGAAAGCTAGGTTTCGGACACTTGCATGAAGATTAAGTGAGATGTGATGGGCGGCAGCACCAATTGCAGGGACAAATGAGCCACTCCAAAATTTTTTCCATCTTATCCCTTCTAAAATTATCAGGTTTTTTTTTACTGATTTATATTTTGATTTATTAAATCAATTTGATCACCAACCAATTGGCTATGCGATTTGATCATACTGTTGACAGTTTTGTCTTCCACGTCTTTAGGTTCATATGGATGTTCCTATTTACCAATGATTCTAACTTCTAAATTATTGTGTTCACTTGTTACAATCCAATCTTCTATGCAAGTTTGCCAGTCTACTTGGATACGTCAAGTATTAAATCTCTCTTATTTCTTTGAAGTATTTTCTACTAATTTACTGTTTAAAAATGTTTTTCAGCCCTGTTGGAGAAAGTAAAAAAAGTGGGGAAGTTTATAGGCTTTTTGATGTCGGAGGCCAGAGAAACGAGCGGAGGAAGTGGATTCATCTGTTTGAAGGTGTTACTGCAGTAATCTTTTGTGCTGCAATAAGCGAGTAAGCATGCAATTCTTAAAACCACAAATTGTTGATGCATTTTAGTTAAAAGTTTCCGTCCATTGATATACACATGATTTGGTTGGGGGTGGGGACACAAACACACAGCACAAATGCATACAAATTTATGATGAAGACTATCCAATAGCCAATTCTCTTCAACAATATTAAACTTATTGCGAGAAATGATTGATGAATTTTTCAAATATTAATCATGACTTGGGTTCATCATAAATTTCTTCATGGAGTTGATTGAAAGATATACATGATTTTCAAAGAGTAGGATCCTTTCAAATGACTTAGAATTAAATACTCGAATACACAAGTTATTTGTGGTAATTAAAATGTTATCCCATATTTTAATTAATGCTATTCGTTGGATAGAATGGGCTTGTTATGACTTATTTGTCATCATCAAATCATTATGAAAATTAAAGAAACTTGAGAATTTTTTGGTATACTTGGAAAATCAGTGATGTAACTTTGTGCTTAAAAGTAGTATAAGTTGAAAAACATAGAAGTACGATTGGGATGAGAAAAACCATTTTCCTCTTGGAAGGAAAGGTCATCTCTCTCTCTCTTTCTCTCAAAAATGCATGCACATCATCATTAGCCGATTCTTAGCTTTTTGGTGGTATGCTTCATAAACCCTCTAGTCATGCATTCATTCATGTTAAATGGCATTTGAGTTACTAACTTTATTTTTAGCAAATATTTATATTTTAAACCTTAGCCATACTACCTTTTTCTATCATCGCTCCATTATAATCCTTTCATTTTACTTCTATCTGCAAAATGCAGCTTCCATTATCAATGGTATATAACTAACCTTTAAAGTCTATTTGTATTACCTTAGTTCTCATTGGCGCATCACCATATCATCATTTCTCTCTTAATGATTTTACTAATCCATCTTAATTCTCCTTTCAAGCATTTAATTTTACTAATAATAGCTTGTCCATTGTCCTACAGTTTAATAGGATAACACACCTAATTAAAGCCACAATACTTACTTTTTTTTAATTTTTTTATTCACAATATGTACTTTCAAGTCTCGATGTAGTTATCATATTGCACAACGCTTTGTGGGCCTTTCTCCATGAAACATTTTTCTTTAGTTCTAGATGATGTAGTCATCATTATCCTAATTGTTTTGTATAATAAATCCAAAGAGTTTGAATCTATCACACTTGGGTATTAATTAATCTTCAATATTTCATGGTTATTCTCAATTTATGAAGGCATTAAATTGTACCCAATCTTTGTTTATTAGTTATTGCACAGAAACTAATTGTGTGCAAACACGGCGTGAAAAGAAAATTGTTGATAACTCAAAGCACAAGGCTCAAAGTTTACATTGGTGTAAATAATGAGACAACTTGACTAAATTCTTGACGACAAAGAAATGTTCTTTATAATAAAGAAGGATAAATTAGACTTTTCTCATAAATTTTGTCAAATATTGGGAGAAGAATAATAAATGACAAAGTAAAGAAGTAAGAAATTTAGAGAACAAATCAGTAACCTTGAGTAATATTCCCTATTGACATCAATAAGATGTTTCTTGACACTATTGAAGTCACTTTCAACACTATCGTGCTTGTTTGCAGCACCATCACTCTTGTACTGTGACCACTTTGTTTGCGTTGATCAAAACGGTTTGCAACCACAACACAAAAACCTAGTTAACTTTTCTTTCTTTTTTCTTTTATATTATTTTCTTTAGTTTTTTCATATATTTTTTTCCTCCCTGCTTGTCTTCTTTCTTTCCCCTTCTCATTTTCTAACTACCAAACCCATTTCCAAAACAATTCCAAGCTAATTTTCCTTTCCAGGTTTCCTATTTATAGGATTTACTGAGGTTGAACTTTAAAACAGAATTTGGAGCTCATGCATGAGAGCCATTTTGAATAAAATTTTAATATATTTTTTACCCAAGAAGATAATCCAAATAAAATGTTTTTACCTATAAATTCTTTGTTAATCTAGCAGAATAAAACATGTTTGGCTTTGAATCTATAAGAAAGGGATAAGAGTGAAAATTCATAAACTTTAATGGTTATTTTTGATATTATGAGTGATACCAGAGTTAACCCAAATCACAATAGGGAAACCAAAGTTTATGAGTGATGCCACAATACCTAGGCTAGGAGCAGGTCTCACTACTTGATTTTCTTTCGTATGATGCGCCTCAGGAGATTTCCTAGGCTCTTATTCACCACTTCCTTATGATCTTCTCTTTGTGGATGAGTTGCTGAGCTGAATTGTATTTTAATACAAAGTTTTTCCCATAGGATTCTTCAGAATTGACTTAAGAATTTGGAGTACTTTTCAAATGTAATGGTTTTATGTATTCTATGTAGTTTTATGATCCCCTAGGTGTATAGGTCAACGACATTTGATCTATCCAATGTCTGGTTGTAAGGTAAGAAATGAACCATCTTTGAGAACATGCCAACCACGACCATTACTGAATCCTTGTTCCGCTGTGTCCTTGGGAGACCATTACAAAATCCTCGCTAACATCCATTCAAGGGCCTCACGTACTAGTAATGGTGTGCAAAGCCCTCCATTTTGCCCTCTAGTTTTGGCGAGGTGAAACTCTGTACTGTCAAACGTATTGCTCCACATCTATCGTCAATTATGTTGCATCAATGCGAACATGCGGACACAGATACGACATGTTATTGAAAATATAGAACACAGGCATGCGCCAAACACATCATTATAATCTAAGGATTGTAGTAACCATGGTAAAGTACTTGTGTCATTGACACACATCACACATTGCCACAACTTTCTCTACATCTCTGCACATCCCTGTCTAATAAAGCTCTGGCGATAGAAGACTGTATGTCTTATGTTTTCTCGAGTGTCCTACAATTGCATTGTCGTGAAACTTCTACAATAGATTTACTCCGTTCCACTTGGCAACACGAACTGCACCTGGTTGTGCAGCTTCAACTTTTCTCATATTTTCCAATCTTATATCTTGCTTGTTCTTCCGTCGCAGAGCTTTTCAATCTAGGACCAAGGGTACCGATAACGCTGCCGGCTGAGGCTCATCGATAATCTCGTTAGTGCATCTTCGATTTTCTTATCCAACCTTGGCCATTACTGAATCTCAAAATCATAGCCCATTAGCTTAGATAACCACCTCTGTTATTCCTCAACCATCATCCTCTGCTCCAAGGGATATTTTAAGCTCATCTGATTTAACCTGACTAGAAAGTGTCGACCCAACCGGTAGGGTCGCCACTTATGATGGCCAATATAATTACCATCAACTTTTGCTTGTACACAAGCTGAGCCTCCTCCTAGTTGCGAGCACCTGGCTGAATTAGGCAATCGACTGCTGAGCCTGCATGAGTACTGCTCCTAATTCGTCTTCTGACGTATCCGTTTCTACCACAGATGGTTTACTGAAGTCTGTTAATACTAGAACATTGGTCATGTATCTCTTCAGATGTTCGAAGGTCTGTGTTGCTGTTTCCCTTCACTTGAAATAGTCTTTCTTCAACAGCTCTATTAGTGATAATGCTATTGTGTCGTACCCCTCACAAATTTATGATATTATCTGGTGAGACCTAGGAACTCTATCAAGTCCTTCAAGCTCTTTCGTAAAGGTCAGTCCACCAAGCCTCAATCTTGGATTGGCCCGCTGCTACTCTTGCCTTGGTCACCACGTGCCCTAGGTACTCCACTTGTAATTGTGCAAAAGAAGGAACATTTCTTCAAGTTGGCGTACAACTAGTGCTCCGTTAACTTTTTCAAGATCGTCCTTAGGTGCCCCACATGCCGTATTTGTACAATTGTAGATCAGAATGACATCGAAGAAGACTAGGACGAATTTCCTAAGGAAGGGCTGAAAATCCCGATTTATGAGAGACTGAAATGTGGTCGGAGCGTTGGTGAGGTCAAACATAATTACTAGGAACTCGTAATGTTCTTCATGTGTCCTGAACACTATCTTGTTCATATCAACTGGATTCATCTTGATTTAGTGGTATCCCAACTTAAGATTAATTTTCAAGAACATTAACTACCCCATAAAGCTCATGTTGCAGTTCATCAATCACATGGATAGAAACCTTGTCCAATATAGTTTCATTGTTCGAAGTTCGGTAGTCCACAAAAAATCTACAACTATCATCTTTTTTCTTCACTAATCAGACTGAACTGGAAAAGGGACTTACACTGGACTTGAAAATCCCAGCTTCAAGCATCACTTGGATTAACTTCTCCATCTCATTCTTCTAAAATTTGAGGATACTGGTATGGTCTGAGACCGATAGGAGGGACAATCTCCTTCATGGTATTGGCATGCTTGTGCTCCCGTGGTGGCGGTAATTCACCAAGCTGATGAAAGATGTCTGAAAACTACTGTAGGAGCTGTTGAACACCCTTGGGGAACTCTTGTGACTCGGGATCCCGGATTTCTTTTATGCTCTGAGACTCCACCAAATAGCCCAACTCTACTCCTCGTACGTCTTGACCATGGTTTTGAGCGAAACTATGGTTCTACGTAGGCTAGCATCTCCTTTCAACACCATCTTCCTACCCCACCTTGAACTCTATTGTCAAGTATTTCCAATATACTTTCATCTCCCCAAGCATTTGAGACCGCCCAAAATCACATCAGTGCTACTCAATTCCAAGGGAAGGAAGTCCTCCACTTGTAGGTACGGGTCTGTTTGGGGCAACTGCAGCTTATTGAATAATTTGCTGATAAGCTGATTAAAAACAATCTGCTGATAAACTAAGTGCGATGACTATTAAAAATTTTTATTTTCTTGGAAAAGCTAGACCACTGCTAGAAAACTGCCACCGCACCTAGACAAGTGCGGTGTGAAAACGTTGTTTTCAGTGTTTTGAAAAAGCATAAGCTGCCAAAATGCAACTTACCCAAACATGTCAGGTGAGTTTTCAAAACGCCACCGCACCAAATAAGCTGCCCCAAACGGGCCCATAGTGTCAAAACTAACCTTTTGCAAATTTCT